CCTTCATTCAGTAAAGGTCGAGGTCCATCAACAAGTCAAGGCGTGGGTGGGTAACACATATGAATACCTATATATATGAACTCTTGTGTGGATAGTAGCTGAAAAAAACAACAACTACCGACTCCTGGGCAGCTTTTTAAAGAACATTATTTAGAAATTGGCGTATAGAATGACATCCACGGATCGAGTAAACCAGGGCTTTATGCTGAGGTCACATTTCCTAACCGAGGCTATAACCGGGCTGTTTCTATTAACACAATTTTGGCAAGAATATACGCAAACAGTACCATTATTATATTTTTCAACTTTTTTTGCGCTTTGTTGTCTTTTATACCATATTTTTCGTTATATAAGGTTTCCCAGTTTGGAAATGTGACCTCAGCATTAGTCCATATATAGCCTCTTTAAGTTGTAGAAGGTGCTATCTTGAGTATCTTAGTGGTATTTCTACGACAATAATCCACTCTTCATCGTACTAAAGGCGTTCTGTTCTTCTCTCACCAGAAGAGAAGATTAAGAATAATCCCTCCGAACAGAAATAAAAATAGCCCTGCAGGTACGTAAAAGCCACTATCAGAAATATGAAATCCCCTGACCAGAGATTAAAACTGGTGCAGATGTTGAGATGTATGCCTTAACCCTGGCTTCTGCACACCTCATCAGGCATAGACCCGGCTTACTGAAATCCTGGCTTACTCCGAGCCCAGCTTTTAGACGTGCGGTCAAAGTGAAATTGAATTAGCGGAGGGATATCATGCGATCCGCCCACTCAAAAAATGGAGCTGAGTTGAACAACAGATGCGGTAACTACGGTCTCAATCTAGCCTCTACCAGGCTTCGGGAGACGGCTGGAACAGGCAATGGAGAAAAATGGAGAGATAACATGCCGAGTGAGTTGGTCCGCTAGAGAGTAAATTTTGCCGCACCCTCTCCCGAATCCTGGTAGGGGCTAGTATACGCCTCGAGTCCTTTGTGAAAATTCGTTTTTCCAATAGATAAGACATTGTTTTATCATGATCATATGAGCGATCGACTGTGACCTGTGCTGAACTTTCACCCGTGAGACCCGGCCTGGGATGAACCTGTAAGCACGCCAGTTAGGTGACAATGATTGAAAGATCCGAAACTTATAAGGGTTTATTGATTTTCTTTCGCACGAAAAGTTCCTGGAATGATACCAAGCATAGCAAACTATTAGATAGCTTCCAGGAAAATATATCACGCGCTTCCAACCAACTTCGCTAACTTCTAAAACAATTTATGTCTTGGCTCAGGCATCCGGAATCCCCGCCAACGTTATCGTGCATGGAGTTCCGGCGGTTCTAAATCTAACTCTAAAGGAAAGCCTGTTATGATATATCAAACGGGAAATTCCTCCTGAAGGAAAATACTTTCTTACAAAGAACTATCAATCATCTATTAGACAAAATGTAAAAACCTGAGCTGAGTATAATCTCATGTTTGTAGCTGGAAAATGATCAATGGTGTTGCAAAGTACAAATCATGGGTAAACACAAAGATTCTTTTGTTCATGATGCAAACATTCTTGTTGAAAGAACAACAGTTGTAATGATTAGCATCCTTCCCTATTTCCATAAATCTACCTGATGCTGACATCTTGCTTGTACTTAAAATAGAGATCACAGGAAACATTTGTATCATCAGGTATTTAAGAAAAGGCAGTAATAAATGCCATCACTGTGTCCCACAGGGTTTAATGATGGGCCCACTTTTAGAGGCTCAGAACCTCAGCCCAAGCATCATTCAACCAGCATTTCTTTTCTCTTTATCTCTGCAGACGCTTTCACAGATAGGCGTCTAGGCGGGGTCTGTGTTAAATGCCACCCCACCAGAAAGCCTCTTAACGTCAAGGAATTTCATGGAAAATGCCGCGAGTGCGCATTTAAGTCCTGGCGCTCGCGATCACTCAAACATATCACGGTTTCTCCAACATGAACCCCCGCTCACAATCAACCTGCAGTTTCACCAGTAACTTTAATGGTTGCCTTATTTCGTGCCACCCACTCAGCGATACTGTTCATCACTGCCAATCAACACAGGTAGAACTTCAGAATAAGAATACGCACTCACTAGTTACAGGAAATACGGTAGTCACATATTGGGTGGTGCCACCAGTGCTATATCTTAGAGGACATACGGTAGGCCCATCGGAAAGGGGGCATTTTCCGCATCGGCGCGGTGTGCAATCACACTAAATAGCAAAGGTGTGTGAGGCTGATAAAGAGGACTCGTAACTCGGGTTAGCGTGCTCACCTAAACGTTTTACACCCAGCAAAATCTGTTACAACCATATTGTGATCTTAGCCCGGGCGCCTGCGTGGTGGACACCGATTAATGTGTTTCCGATACTCCCAAACGTCATGTAGTTCACACAGAGGACTGTTTACGTGCGTTTTATTGTAAAACATAGGAGGTAATACGTTGTTGCCATCGGGAAGACTGCAGAACTCGCGATTTTAGTTTAAGATAGGACTCTATCGCGAGAAGTCCTGACGACGCGAGCTTAGTTCGCTTCCTGAAGAACGGGTTTTTATGATGCACTTTAGTCTCAGTTTGCGGCCATTTTCATTTCAACTTCTCCTGGCCACGGGTGTTTTCCGCCCCCATGGTGACACTTTTCGTCTGGGTAATAAATTCCCTGTACACAATCAACTTCCCCAGAATTGTAATTATAACAGGGAATATACGATGGCAATTGTAAGCGTATCGATTACGAAAGGTGTTGCGTTTATAATAAGGTAATAATCCCTTTTTCATTTGCCGCGAGGTAAAATTGCAGATAACTATCATTTTATGACACATCTTTCTCCTAAAATATTTTTGTATATTTGCATAGAACCCTAGGCCAATCAGAACCTTAAACCAACTCTTCAAAGCAATATTGAGAAAGTTACTATGTACATCAATTAACGTAGAGACAATTACACCGATGCCTCGTCAAACTTATCACTTGTTATGCTATATTTCTTTAATAAAAAACAAGAAAATTCGCGATACTGATGGACAACTTCCCCCAAAGCGGGTTCGTGAAATCTTTAGTTATATCTTTGGGCGAAAGGGGAAATTAGTACATTAGATAAAAAAACTGGGGACCCGTCAATCACCTTATGCAACTGGTTTTATCTTCCAAGTTCAGGAGATAAGCACATGAGATATCGCCCTGCAGGGGAGCAGTTTGTACTGCTATTCTTCACTCTACGGTCTCATTATCATCAGACTTAGACGGTAATAATATTCTTCCCCGTGCTTGATGAAGTGAAGCTGATTTTTTTCCTCGTTATTAAGAATGACTGGAAGATAGTTTGAATACGTTGCTATGCATTTGGGAATAGACATAGGCTGCATAATTGTAAACATTTATGATAGACACCCTGAAATCATGTCTACAGTAGTGTGCAATAATGGGATGATAAATTTGCCGTTTAAATGCTATAGAACGTCCTTGCTTTTGTACGCTGTACCATTAGTTAAAGACTGGGTCGTATATAATCTATACATTCCCTATGCGTTGATGTCTACGGTCTTAACAGAAAAAAATATTTCTAAGACACAATGTTTATGAACTACATAAAAAAACTACAGGTATCATAGATTTTCTAAAGCCTCAAGTTGTATCTTTATGATGAATGAAAGAAGGCAAGAATGGTTTCTTTTTTATCGTTAGCCAGACATTCGTATTCAATGAACGTCTGACCGTTAGCACCTTTGACTGTATGGAAATAGTTATCGCGACTGTGATCAAAACAGAACCGTTAAGATTTGATGCCGACGAAGGGACGATACCATTGGCGTCAATAAAAGAGACAGACGTTCAGTTTATTTTATTTTAATGGTATTCTAGTACGATATCTTGTATCTCTTGCATGCTGGGTCAAATTTGAGGGATTCTTGGCAAGAGAACTTACTAGGTGAAGGGTACAGTCCACCCGTGACGTCAACAATAAATTAGTTTTTTTTCTATTTTGGGACCATTAGTATTACAGTTGCTTTCGTTTCAGCATAGTTAATTACTGTTAACCATTCAGGTTAGCGAGTGTCAATTGACTATCTGAGTTTAGACCGTGCATAATGTACCTTCACACAAGTTTGTCTGATCGTGTATGCTTTCTCGTGCATGAGAACTGTAAGTTGTGGTATAAAATTACTTTCCATCTCAACCAAACCAGTGACCATACTTTGATGGATGTTTGTGCTGTCCATATGGTTCAGTGCGTCTGCCTGATACGTTAGAGTCTCCAGGCAGGCCTCACGTTGCCATTGTCATTAAGAGGCACGTGCGAAGCATAAATGTAGACGGCGAGTTAATAACACTCCTTATACGGGCAAAATGTGTTAGACTCCGGGCTGACATACGTGACCGTGTGTTAATACCATACGGCGACACAAAGCGGCAGACGAATGAAAGACGATTCCGTTACGACCTGGGGTCAATTTGGTAAAGTCTCTGTCAGTGGGTTCAAGTTTGATGAGCGGAAATTACGTGCTCTGTCTGTAACTTAGATGAGTGTTTTTCAATATTAATGCGACGGTAACATTTCTGCGGTTTGGGAACATTAACTACACCTTCCTATTCCACTTGCGTTTCAGATGCTTTTCTGAGAAGACCCTCTCAGACGAAATGGGAAGATGGTTGCTTTCGATGGTTCCGCCGTCTTGAATATGCATCGAGCCTGAAAAAAACGATGCTTTCATCATCCAACTGCTGCGAATGCTTGACTAATCCTCCTCCTGCACAAACTGGGTCCAAAATGGCATGAAATGGGAGACGCCGCACCTTCGTAACCGCCCCTGAGGAGTATAATTAGCTGCTGCGACAACCGTCTTACATCTGACAAGAAGCGTTGGAGCACCGCGCCGGGGAGACGTGGGGTTTGGAGGGATGCAGTCAAGCGTATCGACGGTGGGATCGATCGGGTGTTCACATCTCATCATCAGGACCTGGTAACAGGAGGTACAGCGTACGTCGGTAGCGGGCCAGAATGCCGCCATTCCACCTCCCTACTCTCCTGCTGTCCTTGTCTGTTTATCTGTGGGGAACCATGGCGTGTGAGATGGAGAACAGCACCACGGAAGAAGGGACCGGGTCCCTGCTGAATGCCAACATCAAATGGCCGGTGCAGAGGGTGGTTTCGATCGAAGGAGACTTGGTGTTGGGAGGTATGTTCAACATCCACGAGCGATCAGACGCATATACGTGCGGGAAAGTGCTAGAACAGTCGGGTGTCCAGGCTATGGAGGCCATGCTCTACACGGTGGACATGGTCAACAACAACCCGACACTTCTGCCCAACATCACCATCGGCGTCCACATCTTGGACAGCTGCGACCGCGACACGGTGGGGTTGGAGCAGGCGGTGGACTTCATCCGCGGCTCCATGAACATCGTGGGAGGTTCCAGGTACAAGTGTGCGGACGGCTCGGTTCCCACCGTGGATTACAAAAAGATCGTCGGAGTTGTCGGCTGTTCGTCCAGCGTCACCTCCATCCAGGTGGCCAACCTGCTGAAGCTCTTCACGCTCCCACAGGTGAGAGCTTTCTGATGAGTTCTACAGGTGTGTTAGCATTGATAAATCACGACCAGGAAAGAGCCAGAGTGTAGGACTCGGGATTTGATACAGAGGCCATGAAAATACATAGCAAGTCGACTGTTTTGTCTATAAAGCTGGCAAATATATGGTAATACGAAAACAAAATTGATATAAGACAATTAGACTTCATCCTTATTCTAAAGTTTACAAGCTGAAACTCATTTGTGAGCTTTATATCACATTGATTAGATGAAACTAGCGACGTAAAAACAAAAGCCAAATGCAATATGAAACGCAGCAACGTGATGTAACACCCTTTCTTCCATAGGGAAATATAACTATATTGCTGTGTACTAGCGAAAGCCGGGCCATTTATGCATCTTTATCAAGCTTACTTTTTTTGTAAGAACATTGGTAAATGAAAACAGATCATAATCAGTATGTAGACACACATGATAACCCAACATCGACAAAAAGACGCACTGGGGCAGACCTGTGTTAATCGAAGTTTCTGCATGCCTACCACGTTTACCACGTTTACCTTTTGAATAACATATATGGAAGTCATTAGTGTAAAGTGCATCCATTTTATATTGAATTGCATAGTCCGACAGCGTGCTATACTGTTCTTTATTGCCTTTGATGGTATGCCGCAAGAATAACACAGTTTTCCCAAGCTGATTTGATTTACACCTGTAGCATATGTAATGTATGTATTGTAATGTATCACTGCCGAGATGTCTGAAAGGTTGTGTGAGATTGCATCATAATGCAGATCTCGCTTTGCCCGTGATTTCTCTTGCGTTAAAAGTGCTCTTGGGATGTGTTTAAAAGTACATGAAAAAGATGCTAAAGTACACGGGAGAAAGAACACGAATATATTTAAATGAGAAACGGTATAAACTATTTGGTAGGCTACAACGTGCGGAAAAATCAGTTTAAATTGTTAAGAAAAATAAAAGAACGGGTCAACTCTTCCAATATTGTCTCCACGGAAATCAACATCTTGAATATGAAGAAAAATAGGTTATCTATAACATTAAGACTATAATGAAAGACTAATGTAACGTCTAAGATCCCATGTGGTGGACTGGGCTAGTGCCATGGGAAATAATTGGGCATGGGTTATTCAATACTGGCAATTTAATGGAAAATATTATCAATTTGTTTTCATAAAGAATAGTTTAATGATAATATATATAGACCCCACAGTTATCAATCAATTTCAGTGCACATGTGTTTGGGATTTCTCCAGAGCACAAAGTAGATACTTTGACATTTTCGACGATCCTTAAATCCAATCCCAGCTACATTCGGAGCAATTCGCACACTTAATGAAAAACATATTACTACCTACGCTGGTGATGCAAGCTACTTTTGAGACACGTTAGCATTCATAGAATATAAAGTGGAACAAGATCAAGCTAGTTTTGATGCCATTGAAGACTTTCTTCCACACTATCCAGTGATGCTTTGATACAGGTAGACAAATATATTCGCATTTTAGGTAAAGTTAAGTACGTCTATTCAAGGTTTATTTGCCGACGCCCAGTTAAAGCGAGTTTTCTGTGCTGAGATGCCCTCCACCAAGGACATCCTTTTACATGCCAGGCAGGTTCTGAAGAGGAAACTCCAGCGTACTTAAGAGCGTCTTTATGGTTGCTCTTAGGCAATTTCCTTACGGGTGGTGATGAATAAACCACCAGAGCCCTTCGTCCGAGCCACTACCTTTCTCACTGCAGTAATACCCTGCGATGTGTAAAATACTAAACGACAGTTTGATCCCGTGAAATGTCGCATGTATGTTTTCAGTTAGCATTTGGCTAGCACTTAACATCAGTTAGCTCCATTTTCAAGACGAGAAAGTGTATGCTGGAATTCACGCAATGAAGCTTCGTAGGTGGTTCAAACAGAAGCAATATTATGTGGAACAAAACCATGTCCAGAAGACGAAAATGGATCAGAAAGAGCTTGCATAGTGGGGTTCCAAAACGACGGCCGACTACTTTCAACCAAGGATATTTTTTGCTATTTCATCAAGAAAGGTATAGTTCATGAATAGATAGATATTCTGCTAGCAAATGTGCAGAGCTGATCCTTAGTAACTGCACGTTCCTCAATATGTTGCAACGAATCGTAATTCGTGCCAGACAAGTGACCCTTTCAAATCTCTAAGAGCTTTATACTTACTCAGAATATTTCAGCATTTTGCAGATAAACCTATTCTCTTATGCTTACTTCTGCGTGAATGAATATGGATAGCAAAGACTGTACAATGTAATAACAATGTATTCATTGACGCACTGGCTACCATGGATCTGATGCTTGTTCACCAATATCTTGTATCGAATAACAATTAACGTCACCCAACCAAACTTGACTATTGATAAATAAGAACTGTAGCCTAATACTTAACCAATGACCATCCAAACGACTGCTGAGATGCCAGATTTCACATCTCGTTTTGCTTGTCAAGTCCTTAAGTAAGTTCTAAACATATTAGTCTTAGTTAGTTTTCAGCTGATGTCCAGCAACTTGTAGTTGAGTCGTCAGCTCTAGGTCTATTAGTTTCTTTGTGAGAGGCAAATAAGATTTCCATATGTAAGGTTTATTTTGTCAATCTTTTCACCTTGGTTATTGCCAGGTCAGTACATTCTCATCAGAATTGCCGCCTGATTGAGTACAACCAAGCGATGCCAGGAAAGGGCAATCTTTGATCATCGTCATTGACAAACAGCGAGGATAGAGATAGAGTGAACGAATCATGCTGTTCATTAACGATGCATCAGAGGTAACATCAAACGTTATAAAATGATTGCTGTTATCGGAGAAGGGAATTCTGGAAATAAAGATGGAAAAATAGAATACAGGCAGAGATAACAAGTAAGACAAAATAAAGCAGCTTGAATCGCTCCAAAAGGTTTGCTTTATCTATGGTTACATACAAAATTGTATGTATGTAGAAATTGCCTAATCTCCAGAAGATCCTAGGGTGGCAAAAAACAGTATCACATTGTCGAGGCAGTACCCATGGGGCGTATTGGGAATTCTCTGGCCAAAGGATACTGCCTTGCCAGTTTGATACTGTCTTTCGATCTGATCCAGGATATGCTTGGAGATCAGGAATTGCTGCTCACTGCTCACAATGGATGCTGCAAAAGTCGACAGGGCTATAAAGAGATTCAGAAACGAAGTTGTTTTAAGTCGTACGTTGGTGCTAACAACAAATACCCAGATCTGTCATTTTATTCCAGTAGCGAACGCTTAGATTATGGGTTGTCAAAGGAAACTATGTGGTGTGTTTACGTCTTCAAAACCATGTATATAACCGTCAGTCAAGGTTAGACATCCAGGTATTAAGATACGCCAAGAAACAAGCTATTGGATCCCAAGTCATATGATATATCCAGTTGTTTGAGTAACTGTTTTTTTTGCATGGATATAACCAAGGATGCAACAGAAGATATCGTTACCACTGTTACAACTCGATTAATTCTAAACATTCTCGCCCTGACCAAACTGCATAGAAGTAGCTAGCAAATAATTGATAAACCCAGTCGGGCCATGGCGTTGTGATTAGGAGTTTTCCTCAGCAATGCGTATCAGACCTGTTCAACGTCTGCTGATTATCAATTATCACTTGACGACGCCTGATTGAATCGTGATAGAAACTGTAATGCATAATTATAACTATGAAAGTTACATCTATGCCTGCCAAATTCATCGCTCATTACCTTATGGTTTAAGGGTATAAGAGGCCGCTCTAATGGGAGTGACAGTTGATTGTGCTTTGATTGGTGTGCTTAATTTTCTGCCGGCGTAGGGAATCTTTTAATGATAGACACGGCTATAAATCTTTTACAATTGCCTATCCTTCTTCACATTCCCTGATGACTGTACTGTATGTGCTTACACACTGAGACTAGTGTCTGGACACCCACTGTTTTGTTTGCTGGTGATGAACCATTGAGGTTCAAGATAAGATTAGACCATCTGTAACACACTTCTGTTTGTCCAAATGCATTGCACAGAGGGATTCTTGACCAGTTCTACATGTATATTTGCAGCGGATTCAAAAACAAAAACCCTTGGGTTGTCCTGAAGTATCAGACTACACGATAAACAGCTTCAGATACCGAGATCTACTGCCATGTTTTTGTCCATTTAAACAAGGCACCGTCTCTGTTTGTATGTGGAATATATATGGAACTGTTGACTTACAGTGCAATATATAACCAGGGGATTTCAACTCGGCAAATGGATACTTACGATGAGTTCTTTAAAAGGCCTTCTTGGTATCTGGACACCCACTGTTCTGTCTGCTGGTGATGAACCATGGAGATTCAAGATAAGATTAGACCATCTGTAACACACTTCTGTTTGTGCAAACAAATTATACAGAGGGGTTCTTGGTATTGTTTTTCCATTTCTATGTTTGCAGCGGATCCAAACTAAAAACAATCATTGGATTGTCCTGAAGTATGAAACAACAACCAAGATCTACTACCATGTTCTTGTCCATTTAAACCAGGCACCGCCTCTGTATGTACGTAGAATATATATAGAATACAACACGGGGTATTCCGTATCGCCCGAGGTACCAGCCCGACCGCGCGTCGGATCGCCCGACGGCCGAAGGCCGGAGGGAGATCCGATCCGCGGGAGGGCTGGGACCGAGGGTGATGCGGAATACACCGTGTTGTGTTTTATTTATGTCATACCCACCCAAGAAAACACGCCTTTTAATGCGAAATAGGCGAAAATTTGGTGTCCCTAAACCCAAAACAAATGCACCAACATCAATTCCAACGTCCGAATTTTGTGTTCGAATTTTCGAAAGCGGTTCACGCGGTTAGGCCGAAACGCGTTCGAATCGTTCTATGCAACATTTGGAAGCCCCGGGCCGTACGCGTTAAGAACCCCCGGGCTGTACCGCTAGTTATCACACGGGCCGGAACACCCGTATCGAACGCAATCGCGGCCCAGGTAGGACATAA